TTCAAAAATTTACTTTCCAGAAATTGCCGTAAGTGAACGAAAAAATCTAAGCGCAAATGTTTTTTTCTGTCTAGGTGACATTTCAATTCTCTGCCCAAGAAACATAGTCGAACGAGTTGCAAATGCATTATAGTTACTTAGAAATTGGATTTCTTTCCACCTCACCTTAAAAAAGAAGAACGTTTCCATGAATTGGCCTCCATTCATTTAACAATAACACCGAACCTTTGGAAATCATGAATAACGTCTTAGGTTAACCATTAATAATTCTGCTGTAATGCTCAGTCCGACGCTTATTTTTACTTCCTACTAGAAGTAAGTGACTACATCTTAGAGCACTAACAAAAATTGCAAATTAGCATGATCTTTGATACTTGTTGAATAGTAAAACTTCTGAGCAGAAACCTTTATTCTTTACATTGTAGAAGGTATCAATTTATGAAAATATTTACTAAGAATTCCATTCCTTATGTCGCGGCTTATAATGAAAACTTCTAAACTGGCAACATATTCTGGTGTCATGTTGCGCGACTTGTGAAATCCTAGAATATACCAACTATTTCAGATATTAAAGAGCTGTTGACACATTAAAGCATTACCAATGAAGCACGTTGAAAAATAGTGCTTTTGAAGTTGGCAAACTTAAGAATTTAAAGACGGATTTGTTTTTAAGCACATTTTCACTAACTAGCCAATAAGTTCTACGACTGAGCGGCAGACAATTTTCAAAACAGATAACCAAAACTCAACCACCGGCAAATCATCAATACATCGTTAACTAATATTTTTCTTTGTTAAAAATGCAGTAAATTACACACAAGGAATTGCTATTATTTTTGAAGTCAGCCTTATAAAAAACGTTTATTAGCATTATTACATTATAATGATTGTTTCATCGTTGTAAGTAATCCTATTCCCTAGCGCAGTCAAGTAGTAAACTTAACAGTAAAGTGCTGAAAAGTTGCTAACGAAGTTAACAGAAGAAAATGGTGCAATTTATTAGTATCTTATTTACGTCAATTACTAGCACTCAATGTCCGTTTAAGGTATCTCAGATAAAAAGTTGGTGCACAACAATGTTTAGTGAGAAAAAACCCTTTAACCCCAATCGTATCCAAGCCATGTCTTCATTGGCTTACTTGGGTCCTTAAACTAAATTGCTACTGTTGTATTTGTTAGACATTGAGTTTTTGCAGGCAATATTTTGGAGAAATAATTTCGATCTATGTGCAATCAATGTTTTTTTTTTTCAAACTATAACACTATTCATCTGACTATCAACTGTTTTAACATATATTTTAACATATTTGCGCACTTAACAATCGTTTCAATAAAACTAAAAATGTTATTTTCAGATTTTGTGTTTTATATTTTGTATGTCCTGTCCTTAATAAGTTTTAATATTGCAGCAAAAATCATTTTACTTCGTAAAATACCAAGAGAAAGCAATGACTCTGCTCTGCTTTGTTAAGATAGATTAGATCGTCTTTGTCTTATACTCACTTTTCACCCATGTCTTCGAGAGTCAAACAAAGGATTAAAATAATGTCTCTTCTGCCACAGTCTTCGTAACTGCTGCTTCTTCATTATTACAAGACCATTTAAGAAATGAATCTATTCACACGTGCTGATGGAATATTTGGCACCCATGTCACCTGGGAGGACATTGAAAACGATATGCAAAGGGAACTACATACCGTTGCTTTATTTGGACCGAATAAGAGTGCGAAAAATATTGGAGACGGAAGAGTAAGCTTGTTCTATGATTATTTTACATCTACCAAATTGTGAGGCTGCTCGTACATAAATTTGCACATTATCCGACCGTTATATGAAGCCGCCCATAAACGGTCTTTTTTCAGTATAAAGTGTGTGTATGGTCAGAAACAATGAACAGACTAATTCTACCCCGAACTCAATGATTTGCTTTGAATAGATATTGGAGTTTCTACTTGACTTTGAAAGGACCATGCTTAGTGATTCGCCTGGATGTCGATGCGAAGACAAATGTCTTGATTGCCTTTGACGCTGTATTTTGTATGACCGCCTCAGTGATGAAAAACTCAGAGAGTTAAATGATGATCGACTGATTAGTTTATTGTCAGATTTCATTATTATGGCACTACTTACTAGATATTGATGTGATCTACTGATCTACATTCCTTGAGTCATAGTTTTTTGAAGATTATAAGTAAAATAGAGAAAGAAATTTGAAAAGGGCGAGACGGCGTCGGCCAGTAGGCTTTAGGCGCAGGAGGCCTTATGCCGAGTGGATAGTATAGTTAATAATGAGAAAGAATGTATTTATGAAGTACTCATGCTGTTTGTTTTGTGAAGATATGCTGTAATAGAAAGCACGAAAGTATTTTCACAATTCCCACTTTGAGATACCTTTTGAATTTAGGGTCTCATGTCCAGAGTTGTCCTCATCGATCCTGATTGGCAGCATCCAGACAAAGAACTACCGAAAAAATTTATAATCAAAGTTTGTTTTTGCTCTTTTTCCAAATACTTTAACTGGCCATATGCTTCAGATTATTTCTACTCTGGCTATGTTAGAACTTAGTGAGAATATCTCTAAGGAAGACAATTTGCCAAATCAATTTGACTCCGTCGAATTTCTAAGGATTGTCGAGGATAAACAAAAACGTGTAAGTTTATTACTTGTTTATTTAGAAGTGTACGCATGTATGCACATTTTTTTATTAATTTACTTTATTGTTCTATGTTACAAATTGGTAACATGATTACTCAAATTCGCTCCAGCAAAGATGTACCTAAACTAGCACTGAGCTACGTTCACGAATTACTACTATGAGCATTTCAGTGTGTTCTATGCCAATACGAGGTTCTACGGTGAGTCCTTATTATCAGTGGCCTTACGTTTCGACTAATCGTCGTCTTCAGAGGCCTAAAGAGGGGCAAGATTGGTGATCATATGTTTATCCGACCAAACGCTTCCTCAATTTTTAGCTAGTTTTCGATCCCTCCCTGAGTTTCACTTGCAAACGTCGCACATGAGAAAGACGAACCTATCTTCGTTTCACCGCCTTTGCACAAAGTGGTGTGCAGCCGCGTTCTGTTAGGTCAGTAGTGCCAATAAGCTACTAGAGTAGATTTATC